GAGCAGGTTCCAGATCACCTGCAGGCTCGTCTCGTCCGTGGTCGCGCGGGCGTTGAGCAGCACCTCGTCGCTCTCGCGCGCCCTGGCTTGGCGGCCACCTTCTGCGTGGGGCGGGTTTCCACGGGCCCCCTCTGCCCGGTCGTGAGCTCGACGCGTCGCAGAGGGAGGTGCGCGGGCCAGTGTGGCCAGGTGCTGGCGCCGACATCCAGCGCTTCCTGCGGCTCAACAAAGCCCCGCGTGCTCTTGGACACGATGAAATAATCCAGGGTGGAGCCCACCCCCATGCGGCAGGAGGGCCCAGGGGGCGTCGCGATGGCCCCGCTGAGCCTGGCCAGCCACCCGAAGTCCATGGCCTCGGGTCCCATGTTCCAGTCCCCCATCGCGCCACAGTGATGGCCCTTTGGCCCCCACGTCGCCGATGAACAAGGCCAGTTGCCACATGATGGCCAAGTTTTCAACTGGAAGGCCTTCCCCGTCGCGCAGATGCGCGCTGATGTGTGCCGCGCCTCCAGGGGGTTCTGCCCACGAGCGAGCAGCAGCCAGACGCCCTGGCACCGGCGCGGCGGACTCGCGCCCAGTGGGTGCCGTGACCTGCGCGTGGAGGGGGGCGAGAAACGCGACTCCGCCCTGCGTGCTCGACGCCGCCGCAGGCGGCGGCGCGGCTGCGCTCCAAAGGCCATGCAAGCCCGCGTCGCGCGAGGCCTGCTGCCGTGTGGCAGTGGCCGCCTCGAGCCGGTGATGCTCCTGGACTGCCGCGGCCAGGGTCTCGTGCCATGCGGCTGGCTGGAAAAATCGCCCAGCGGACCCTGGGAAATCGCGTTGACCGGCGCGTGGCGACTCTCCTGGACTGCGCGCCCGACGCCCTGCGCGCTGCGAGTGGCCGGCGCCAACTTGCTGCAGAGGGGGCGCGGGCTCGGCCGAGGCGCGCGGGGTGCCCGGGCCTGCGGCGTCGGCCAGGGTGGCGAGGGCAACGGCCGCCCCCTAGGGCGGGGCCTCACCCGCGGACGGGCGTGCAAGACAGCCAGCGCCCGCCGACGGGGCAGGGCTCCATGCGGCGCCGGCTTCCTGGCAATCAGAAGACGCCAACACTCAGAGCGCAACGTCGTCTCAGTCGACAGAATTGCCGAACGCTGCGCGCATGTGGCCTGGGTGCTTGGACGCCGAGGGGCTGCGTCCGCGCCCAGCCCGGGGCTGCGCTCTGGGGCCGACGCCATTCCCTGCCCAACGCGAGCGCCTCCGGCAGGGGGAGCCGCACTCCCCGGGTTGCATGAGGGGCATGCTCCGCCGCGCCGGCCAGCCGAGCACCGCCGCCAGCCGAGCGCCGCCGCCTCCTCCGTGGCAGCGCTGTCCGGGCTGTCGGCGATGCCCCCGGCCTGCTGCAGACGCGCCGCCCCCCCGCCAGCGGCGGCGCCCTCCGAGGCTTGGCCCCAATGGCGCGCGCCAGCGTCGCCTGGCTGCGAGGGCCGCCTGCCGCCTGCGATGGGCTCGGCCAGCACCTCTTGCGGCGGGCCCCCTGGCCCTGGCAATCGGTGGCCCGGAAGTCGGAGTAGCTTCCTGGCGCGAGGGCAGCTTGCTCCTCGCGCCGCGCAGCTCGCTGTATAGTGCGCCGCCCAGGAGTCGTCGATGGAGCCCGCCGCGTTGCCGAACGGGCCCTCGGGCCAAGCTGGGGCGCCGCGGCGGCGCCGCGCCCACTTCCTCGACCGCCCATGTGAAGGCGGCGCGAACGACATCATCAGGAGGCCGCTCGGCACCCTCGGCAAGGGCGGGCGCGCGGTGGAAGGCCTCGTGCTTCTCGTGCTGCTCGTGACCTTGGGCTTGGGGGCGACATGGGCGTTCCGCAGCTGCTGCGCCGCGGGCGCCGCGTCCTCGACGTCGCCCCAAGCCTGGAGCCCGAGCACATTCTTGTCCGCGATCTCCTGGCGCTGCTTCTCAGGCGAGGCTTCGCGCCAGGAAGGCCGCCGCCTCCGCGCCGCCCGACGCGTCCGCCGAGGGGCCCCGGGCGCCTGCATGGCCTCCGCCTCGAGCTGCCCTTGGCCAGCTTCTCCTTGTCGCTGGGCGCCGCCCGCCTGGGCGGTGATTCCCCTGCGGGCTTGCCTCCGAATGCGGCCGCCTTGTGCAAGTTGCACCGCTTGCGCTGCAGCCGCTCCCCGAAATTGAGTTTCCTGAAGCCCCTGGCGTCGGGCGCGCGGCGCGTCTCGGAATGCTGGGGGGACCGCCCGCGCGCGCGGCAGGCTGCGCCGCTGCCCAGCACCGACGGCCCCCTGGCGCCACCTCCACCAACATGCCAGCTAGCTCCGCGCCCTCCGCCATTACCACTGGCGCCGCCGCCGGCCGCCATTGCCGCCGCCCTGCAAGAGGGGGCGCCCGCGCGAGCAATAAGTTGAGCGGAACCGCCAAGCGGCACAATCAATTACATGACATCGCCTCCTGGCCCAAAGAGCGAGACCCCTCGCGCCCAGAAGACGCCCGCGAAGGACTCGCCGTCGTCGGGTGTCTCATGGCCTTGAGCCAAAACTGCTGGAGCCCAAATGGCTGCGGATTCTCCGTCTCCCTCTCACTCACTCCCTCTGTCTCTCTTTCCTTCTTTCTTTTTCTTTCTCTCTCTCTCTCTCTGTCTATATCCCTCTCTCTCTCTTTCCCTCTTTCTCCCAGTTTCTCTGCCCGCCCCGAAATCTCTGCTCTCTGTGCTTCGGCAACTCCCCATGCCTTTTCGGCGATGTACCCCCTGTTCCCTGAAAGCACTCTACACGTTCTGCTCTCTCGCCTGTCTTGCTCATTCTATGGGTTTTGCATCCCCTCCCTGCTCTTCAACTTATGTAGGCGCTGGAAACTCTCTAGTTTATCTGCTTTCCCTGTTCTCGATGTACTTAAGACACTTTCTACCTCAGCAGTCTACACTTTCTTTGCAATCCACACTCTCCATTCTGCTCACACTTCAGTCTCTGCGCTCTCCACGCCATCTGCACTCTCGACGCTCTAGATAGGACGTCGCTTGAAGTGATCCTTGTCCGAGATCCCCCCAACTTGTTGCTCGATGTTTGAGCCCGCGGGGCCCTCTGAGATTCGTGAAGGGTGCTCTGGAAGCCGTCTGGGCATCCGTGGCACAAAGACGGGGTCACCGTGGGCCAAGGCCACCTCGGGCAACACGCGACTATATGCTCTTTGGGCGTCTGCACCCTACACGGTCTTTGCTACTTTCACACTTCCACTTCACGTTTTCAAGTTGCGATCTCTCCGCTATGTGTATCTCTTTTTTGGTACTCTCTCTCTCTCTTTCTCTAGATGCCCTGCGCCTTCCACAGTCTAGACTCTCTACATATAAAACACCCTCTACACCCTACACGCACTCGGCACACTCTGCACATTTTTTGCTCCTGCAATATCTGCCTTCTCCACGCTTTCTACATTTTTTTTGGGAGCCCGGGTCAACGACCTCGGGAGCCAGAGCCTGCGAACCCAGCCGTCCGACATCGCTGGAACCTCTTGGCACGCTTGGTCTCTATCGTGTCTATTTCCTCACCGCGCGCTCCAGCTCTCAGCCCGCTTGCTCGCGCATCGCCCTTAAACTGAGTGGAGCTCGATTTCAGGTTGTTTTCGCGCGTGCCTGTAATTTTGCACTCAGCATGTGGGTGGCTTGTTTTTGACGGGCTTCTTGCTGACTTCGGGCTTACCCTCAGACTGCTCTCAGCTGGCTGGCTATTCCTTTGCGTCAGCTTTCTTTCGATCTGCGCTTAGCCTGCCTTTCGCTTTGCTTTACCTGCCACTGTGCCGCAGTCACTGAATGGAGTGGCTTCAGATCCCCTGGAACTCATTCCTGAATATTGTCAATGCTCTTTTAAAGAGCCAGCTGGCCGATGCGGCCAACTATGCCTGGTCAGGAGGCTTACAGAAGGCGTGGCCGCCCGGCGTGCAGATGGACGCACGGGATCTGCACGACGCCATGTAGCAGCGTGTCGCAAGAAAACGTTGCATGCTACTTTCCTCCCGCGCCATGTGCAGGACCGGCCTCGTAGCCGTGCGGGAGCTGTCTGTCTCCGTCAGTCAGTCAGTCAATCAATCTGTCTTTAACGAGCCCTGGTGTGTCGGCCTCTACGTCTGTCTGTTTTGCAAATTGTAGATGCTGTGCATACTCCTCCTCTTCCCCCCTCCCCCTCCTCTTCCCTCCTCCTCCTCCTCCTCCTCCTCCTCCTCGTCCTCCTCCTCCTCCTCCTCCTCCTCCTCCTCCTCCTCCTCCTCCTCCTCCTCCCATCGGGCTCCTGGAGTGGAGTGGACTGGCCTTTCGTGAATCATGTGAATGCCCTCGAAAGAGCCCTGGCCCAGAATCACGGGCGCCCCTGGGAGCGTCCGGGAGCCCTCTCTGGTGCGGCGCACTGGAGGCTGTCTTTTGGAGGCCCTCGAGGCTCGAGGGCTGACCTACGGGGCCCAAGGCGGCGCAGCTCGCGCGCCTGGGATTGATTTTGACCAGACGAAGCATGTTTCGAAGGGGCCCAGGGACACACAAAAAAATGTACTCACATCCCAGGATCCACCATTTTTCCAGTTCCTGGAGTTTCGTCATCCCCCCCACTTTCGATATGTCCAATCTTTTCTGGGAATCGGCGAATCACAGTGTCTGTGTCTTCTTGTCCCTCCTGAACTGTTTTCGAATATGGGATCGACTGCAGAACTGACTTGCGCCACAATTATTTGTTCGTTGAGTCTGCGACAGGTGCGTGGGATTTGCTGAGATTCGACAACCATTCTGCGCATCTTTCGTAGACCCGAGGAAAAACGACAATTTGTTTGGTAAATCCATGTTGTCATCGATCCCCGACTTACTTTTTCGGTCTTCAGAACGCCCAAGGCGGCCCGCGGCCCCCAGGATCGCTCCAAGACCCGCGCGGCTCACAAGAGGCCCCCCCGAAAAGGGCCAAGGTGGGGAACCCGAGCTGACAATGTCGAGCCCTTTTCCTCGAGATGGCCCCCGCGACCCCGAGACCGCCAAAAGGCCCTCCAGAGGCCCCCATCGCACGCCCGCGGGAGAGGAGGGCGAGCGACGAAAGGCCATAGGACTTGGGAGCCTCACCGCGACCGCACGGCGGAGCGGACTCTCTCGAGCAGGGCGTGCTGCGACCCCTCCGCGCCGTTCATCAGATCACCCAGATCCATCCAAGACCTGCCGTCATCGCCGGACGCCTTGATTTAGGTCGGGTATGTCCTCCTACAGGCGGATCTTGGAGGAAAAAATACAAAGCACTCAAAACAATATTCAGCAATAGTCGAGGAATCGACCCCCGACTATTTTTTGACTATTTTTGAATATTCCTCCTGTAGAGGGACATGCCCGACTTCAGCCTTGATCTGCTCCCTGGCGTCATCGTCCACCCGCAGCCGCACCCGCCGCGTGCCGCACAAGTACAGGCCCTGGTCCAGCCGGCACAGCATTGCACGCCAGCCGCTGTACCGGCCAGGCCTGTTGACCAGCGCGGCAATCGCCGCGTCAAGGGGGTCTCCGGCGTGCGCGCGGTATTGCCAGCCGGCGTAGTCCACGTGGCTGCGATCGTCGGAGAGCGTCGACTTCGCTGGGGAGGTGCGCTCGTCAAAGTCGAGGCCGTCTCGCGCTCGGAAAGCGCCGCTCGGGCCGGCGGCGGCGTGCGAGGACAGTGCGCTGCCGTTCAGCGCCGCGCCCTCCCCGCCGGCGTGTCCCCACACTGCGCGGGGCTCAGTGGCCGCCCGCTGCGGGTGCTGCTTGCTGGCGTGGCCCGCAGGGCTGCCCGCGACTCGCTCCAGCTCGCTCATCTGCAGCCTTAACCTCCTCATCTCCGACAGGAGGTCCTTCGACTGCCTGCGCCCCCCCGTCTCTGCGCCCTCCGACACGCTGTCGTCCCAGCCAGCCTGCTGGGGCAGGGGCCCAGGCGGAAACAGCGCCTCCTCGGGCATCGCGACGCGGACGCGCCCGCCCAAGCCGCCGGGCTCTCGGCGGTCCCTCTGCCAGTCTGGGTCCCGGCGGTCCACCCTCACCGCGGAGCGGTATGTCTGGAGCTCGCCGATCGAGCTCGCACCGTCCCCGACGGACTGGGCGTGCCGGTATGGCGACGGCGCCGCCCGGTCGTCTGGCAGCACGTACCTCTGGCCCCAGGAATACCCCTTCGGCAGCGCCTCCAAGGTCGGCATGCTCTCGGAGCGGAGCACGGGCGGGGGGGCCACGGGCCTCCCAGGCCCAGCCTCGCGGCGTGGCGGGAAGCCGGCATGGGGCCTGCCCTCGTCGCCTGCGCTGCACGGCGGCGCCGCGGAGCTGCCGTTCGGCTGCTGCAGGGAGGAGAAGGAGAACTGCGGGGCCAGCCGCGGCCTGGGCGCCGCGGCCAGGGGCTCTTGCTGCAACCCGCTCTCGTCAAGCTCGGCGCTGGAGAGCTTCGAGCGCAGCACGGTCACCTGCTGCTCCAAGGCCTTGACGTGCTCGGCCTTGGCGTCCTGGGCCACGTGGGCCTCGAGGTCCTCCACCCGCAGGCGCAGCCGCTGCACCTCCCGTCGCATCCGCGCCGCGTCGGCACCCTCGTCCTGAGGGGGGGCAGGTGGCACTTTCTGCGGGTGGCAAGCGCCACTCGTGCAACCATCGACAGCCGTGCCGGCGCCAAGAATATACCACCACCACCACCACCTTCATCGCCCCTCCCCTCTTCCAGCCTCTACTTCCTCTCCTCTTCCCTGAGAGACGGAGGGGGGTGAGGTAGGCTGTGGTTTATATCTTTGGGCTCCGTAGGACGCTCGTCCTTATACGGTCACGACAAAGAACTTTTGATCAGCGTGTCGCAACGGCGGCCCCGGCGACACGCTGCACCCTGCGAGCTGATGGCGTGTCGCTCCACTCCGCGGGGCGGGAGGCCGAGAAAGGCTAGGGACGTTGACGCCTGGGACTTGGGAAGCGTGTCGCACCGAGGCGTGGTGGTCATAACCTGCGGCGCGACACGCTAAGCCAAAGTTCCTGACAGTATACGGAACTGTTTTGCTTGTGTGGGATCTGTGCGCATCGGCACTTGCATACCCACCGCCCCCCTACAGAAGTATCCACTGGCCAGGCGGGGGCACCAGGCTGCGCGATCTTGATTCTTAGCCAACAGCACTCTTCGCAACATCGCGGTGTTGCCAAGAGTATGTATTCGAAGTGATTCGTATTAGATCACATTTGCACTTTCAGCTTCACGAATGGAGGGCGGCTCATTTTCAAAATGGGGGTCTCGCTTGAGGCGTCCTGTGCGCTCATGATCCTGAACCTTCCCACTCGTCACATGGGTGGAGGGCGGTTCGTTTTCAAGGTCGAGCTCTGGCCCAGTCGCCGCGCGCATTCTGCTTCAAGGTTCTGCCAACTGCGCGGGCGGATGGCAACTCCCTCTCAAACTCTTTGATTCCACGGCTTGCCTGCAGAGGGCCTATATGGCTTGTGCCGGAAACCCGGATGCAAAACATGCTGTCATCTCTCGAGGGCGCATCTTTTACTTTAGCCGGCTTCCCCTGGCCTTCCGCCGACGGAGGCGCCAGCGCTTCCTCGAGCCGCATGCCGCGGGCCTTCCGCCCCCCTCCGCCGAGGACGAGATGTCAACTCCTCAGTCCCTCCACGGCGAGACCCTGTCTGCAGCGCGCCATACAACGTTTCCAGGGCCGGGTGCGAGCCCTGCCGTAGCAGGGCTCCGGTGGCCCGTGGTCTCCCGGATGGTCTCCCGCGTGGCCTTCCGTGTGGCCTCCCGTTTGGCCTCCCGTGTGATTCGCCGCCTGGTCTGCTGCACGGGCTCCCCGCGTGGTGTCCCGCGTGGTCTCTGCCGCACCGTCTCCCGCACGGTCTCCCGTGTGAGCTCTGCGTGGTCTCCTGCATGGTCTCCCGTCTGGTTTTCCTGCGTGCGCCGTGCAACAGCACGCCTCTCTCTACTCTCTACTTGTGCTGCTTAGGGTCTTCTGCCGCTGTGGCGTGGTCCCGCCAACCCTTTGGGCGTAGGTGGCTGGAAGAGTTATTACTTCTTCCGGCCCGAGACGGCCCTTGATAGCCCAAGATGGCCTTCAAGGTCGCACAATATAGCCCACGATAGCTCAATATAGCTCCCGACATGCCTCCAAAAGGTGCCATGACCGTCCCAAGACAGCTCGAAGTGGCCACGGAGCTTTTGAGGGACCCCCACGAGAGGCCACCATCCTTCCCAAACCTAGCGAGAGTCCATGTGTTATTCCCAACCATCCTGTGGTGTTGGGTCATCGTTTTGAAGAGACGGTGCCCCGCGTTCCTCTCCTCTCCTCCTCCTCTTCCCCCTCCTCCCTTGTGCCCGCGCCCGCATGCGTCAGCCACACCCATTTCGGCACACCCCTCACACGTTTCGTGGCCCCATAGGGAGCTCCACCGAAGGCCCCAGTGCCCGCGCCCGCATGCGTCACCCACACCCATTTCGGCACACCCCTCACACGTTCGTGGCTCCATAGGGAGCTCCACCGAAGGCCCCAGTGCCCGCGCCGCATGCGTCCCCCACACCCATTTCGGCACACCCCTCACACGTTTCGTGGCTCCATAGGGAGCTCCACCGAAGGCCCCAGTGCCCGCGCCCGCATGCGTCACCCACACCCATTTCGGCACACCCCTCACACGTTTCGTGGCTCCATAGGGAGCTCCACCGAAGGCCCCAGTGCCCGCGCCGCATGCGTCACCCACACCCATTTCGGCACACCCCTCACACGTTTCGTGGCTCCATAGGGAGCTCCACGTCAGCCAAGGCCCCAGTGCCCGCGTGCCCGCATGCGTCACCCACACCCATTTCGGCACACCCCTCACACGTTTCGTGGCTCCATAGGGAGCTCCACCGAAGGCCCCAGTGCCCGCGCCCGCATGCGTCACCCACACCCATTTCGGCACACCCCTCACACGTTTCGTGGCTCCATAGGGAGCTCCACCGAAGGCCCCAGTGCCCGCGCCCGCATGCGTCACCCACACCCATTTCGGCACACCCCTCACACGTTTCGTGGCTCCATAGGGAGCTCCACCGAAGGCCCCAGTGCCCGCGCCCGCATGCGTCACCCACACCCATTTCGGCACACCCCTCACACGTTTCGTGGCTCCATAGGGAGCTCCACCGAAGGCCCCAGTGCCCGCGCCCGCATGCGTCAGCCACACCCATTTCGGCACACCCCTCACACGCATAGGGAGCTCCACCGAAGCCCCCAGTGCCCGCGCCCCATGCCCGCGCCCGCATGCGTCACCCACACCCATTTCGGCACACCCCTCACACGTTTCGTGGCTCCATAGGGAGCTCCACCGAAGGCCCCAGTGCCCGCGCCGCATGCGTCCCCCACACCCATTTCGGCACACCCCTCACACGTTTCGTGGCTCCATAGGGAGCTCCACCGAAGGCCCCAGTGCCCGCGCCGCATGCGTCCCCCACACCCATTTCGGCACACCCCTCACACGTTTCGTGGCTCCATAGGGAGCTCCACCGAAGGCCCCAGTGCCCGCGCCCGCATGCGTCACCCACACCCATTTCGGCACACCCCTCACACGTTTCGTGGCTCCATAGGGAGCTCCACCGAAGGCCCCAGTGCCCGCGCCCGCATGCGTCACCCACACCCATTTCGGCGGTGCTCCACTCCCCCCAGAAGGTTGCACACCCATTTCACACCCCTCGCGTCCCCACTCCACCGATGCGTCGGCACACCCCTCACACGTTTCGTGGCCACTCGAAGGCCCCAGTGCCGCGCCCGCATGCGTCACCCACACCCATTTCGGCACACCCCTCACACGCTTCGTGGCTCCATAGGGAGCTCCACCGAAGGCCCCAGTGCCCGCGCCCGCATGCGTCAGCCACACCCACTTCGGCACACCCCTCAAACGCTTCGTGGTCCCATAGGGAGCTCCACCGAAGGCCCCAGTGCCCGCGCCCGCATGCGTCAGCCACACCCATTTCGGCAACTCCCTCACACGTTTCGTGGCCCCATAGGGAGCTCCACCGAAGGCCCCAGTGCTGCCGCCCGCATGCGTCCCGCACACCCA